ACCTAACGAAGTGTCACATCCCCCATCCTTCCCACAGCATTTCCCTACAAAACCCTGGAAATAGCCAAAATCCTTCTGGTGTTTCTTTTTTGTGAAAATAAGTACATATATATTTTTTTACTTCCCCTTCTTTCTTATAAAAATGTAGCATATGGCAACTCCTCTTTTGTACTGGCCCTGAGATCAGGACTTGAGCTGAAACCAGGAGTCAGTCACTCAACTGACTGTACCACCAAGGCACTCCTCCATGGCCTATCTTTTAAATGTGTACCAATACCATACTATTTTAATTAGAGAGGCTTCATAGTGTTTTTAATATCCATTAGGGAAAATTGTGAACTTCATGCCAATATATTTGACAATTTAGATGAAGTGAAAATAATTCCTTGCAAGACACAAACTACCAAAACTCAATTAAGAACTAGGGGGATGCCTGGGTGGCTCAGCAGTTTAGCGCCTGCCTTTGGCTCAGGGCTTGATCCCGGAGTGCCGAGATCGAGTCCCACATTGGGCTCCCTGCATGGAGCCTGCTTCTCCCTCTGCCTGTGTCTCTGCCTCTCTTTGTGTCTCTCTCATGAGTAAATAAATAAAAAGAACTAGGTAACCTGTTTAGCCTCATCTCTATTAAATAAATTGAATTTGTTCTTGAAAACATTTCTACAAAGAAAACTCAAGGCCCAAATGGCTTCACAGAAACATTCCAGCAAATATTTAAGTATGAAGTTGGTCAATTCTCCATAACTCTTCCAGAAAATTAAAAAGAAGAAACTATTTCCCAAATCATTTATGAGGTATAAGGAACACTCATACTTTGAAAAAGGAAATACAAAACAGTGTAACTACTTTGGAAAACAGTTTGGCAATTTCCAGTAAAAATAAATATATACTCAAAATACCATCCAGCAATTCCACTCCAAAACACTTCACAAACGAAATAAAAATATGTTCACACAAAACCCTTGAAGCAAATGTTTACATAGCAGCTGTATTTGTAATAGCCCAAAACTCAAATGTCCTTTGATGAACAGATGGATAAATGAACTGCAGTATAAACATACAACTGAATACTACTCATCAATAAAAAAAAAAGTCAAATACACAACATGGATAAATCTCAAAAACATTACACTTGGTGAAAAATACCACTAAAAAGGTTACAGAATGTATGCTTTATTCAAATGTTATTCTCAAAGAGATAAAACTATAGGAAGAAAAAAATCAATGATTGCCAGCAATTGAAAGTGGAAGAAGTGATTTACTACAAAGTAAAGGTGAATTTTTGAGGGTGATTAAGCTGTTCTACATCTTGATTGTGGTGATGGTGGTGGTCACAGAACTATTCTCGTTTGTCAAAATTCCCAGAACTTTATACTTTAAAAAAAGGTGAATCTGACTGTATGTAAACTATACATTATCATACAAAGACTAATCAAAGCAAAACTGGAATAGCTCTATTATCATCAAAGTTGACTTCAAAGAAGGAATATAATCAGGAATAGAAGAGAGACATTACATAATGATAAAAGAGTCAGTTCACCAATAAGTCAAACAATCTTAAATGCATATCCATCCAACAACAGATCTTCAAAATACACAAAGTAAAAATCGACAGATCTTTAGGAAGAAACAGACAAACCCATAATTACATGTGTATACTTCAACATTCTTGTCTCATTACGGGCATCAGTACCTTCCTGGTAAGGATATTAATATCTGTATCGGTGAGTACATAGAACATTATCAAACAACTTGACCTAACTGACATTTGTAGATTACTCCATCCAACAGAAAAATACATGTTCTTTTCAAGGTACATAAAATATGCATCAACATAGATCACATTATGGGTCATAAAACAAACCATATAAAGTATGTTCTCTACGTATAATTAGAATTAAACTAGAAACCAACAATCAAAAAAATCTGGAAAAATTTCCAAATACAGGGAAATTAATGAATACCTTTCTTAATTGTGCACAGGTTAAAAGGGAACACAAAGGAAATTTTAAAATATTTAGAATTATATAAAAGTTAAAACATCTGAAATGTTTATGAACCAGTTAAACAGTATTTAGAGGGAAACAAAGTACTAAATGCTTAAAACAGAAGAGAAGAAAGATATCAAACCAATTATCTAATTTTCTACTGTAAGAAATTGCAAAAAGAAACAAGAAACTGCAAATTAAACACAATATTAGATAAGAGCAGAAATCAGTGCAATCAAAACAGAAAAGCAATAGAGAAGAAAAAATAAAATCAAAAGCTGGTCCTTTGGAAAAAATCAATAACATGAATAAACCTCTAGCCAGATTTATCAAGAAAAAAAACGATAGTAGACATAAATCATCAAAATCAGGAACAGACGGAATATCACTACACATTGAAAGGAAGATACAGGAGTATCAGGACCTTTATGCCAATAAATTTGATAACTGAGATGAAATGGACAAATTTCTTTGAAAGAAAAACATTACTAAAGCTCTCCCTAAAGAAATATGTATAACTAGAATAACCCCATATCTATTAAAGAAATTGAGTTTGCACTGAAATGCCTTCCAAAGAGAAATCCAGACCTAGACTGCTTCACTGTCACACTCCAGCAAACATTTAAGAAAGACATAATACCAATTCTATACAAAACCTTCCAGAAAAGACAAGTATGGAATAGCTCCCAACTTGTTTTAAGGCCAGTATAACCTTGATACAAAAAACAAAACAACAACAAAAAAAGACAAAAGCAGTGGAAAAATAATAGTAACTACAGACCAACATCCCTCATGAACAGAAACAAATTGAATCTAGTAACATATAAAAAGGTTAATACATCATACCCTGTGGGGTTTATCCCAGGAATTCAAAGGTTGTTACAACATTCCAAAATTTAATCAATGTAATTCACCAAAGTGACATAAAATTTGGGGCTGTGGAAGCCAGAAATTAAGGGCAGGTTAAGAGAAGTTATACCTTTGATAGTTTAGGTGCTTGTATCACCACCTTGTACAACTCCATTGTATTTGACATGAATGATACCCCAGGAATTGTAAAATATAGTGGTATTGAGAATGTGTAAAATGGTTAACCAAAAGGCAATGCAACTTTGTGCTGGACTGAAAGAAATAAAAGATCCAGATGAAGAGATTTTTACCTTTCAGACATTCCACTTGGTCCTGTTCACATCTGAAATATTCTGTTTAATTCTGAACTCTATACTTCCAATGAGAACAATGAATTTCATCAGAGAACTAAAGCAATAATGGCAAAAGAATTCTAGACATTTCATAGAAAAAGAGCTGGAAAAACTGGAAGGCGTATACTACATTTCAATAATTTGCTTATATTTTATATGCCTTAAAAACTATTAATTTCTGAGGGCAGAACCCATGCCCTATTTATCTTTGTATTCCAAATATCTATTACTGATCCCAGAACTGGGTAAGTACTCATGTAGGAGGGGGTTCAAGAACAGGAAAAACTAAACTTTAATAACTGAAATCAGAAAGTAGCAAGAAAAGATTGGAAAGGGCACTACAGCACTGTTACTTCTCATAGCATTAACATGCCAAATGTGACCCTCCATCCCATAGCTATCAGCTTTGTATCTCACCAGCCTGAATTGCTTATGTGCCAAATTTTGACTGGTATATATGCTAATTCCTGCTCTTCTGGACCTCAGACGCCCAAGTCTATTGAGCCACAGAGTTTGACTCTGGAGGAAGCACAGAAGAGATAATTATAATACTCACTAGCCCCACCTAACTAGCCAAATCACCCCAGCAATTAAACGAAGTGATAGACATCACAGCAAGATGATCTGCATGTCCAGAAATGATGTAAAAAGTAACTGCAACTATGTTAGATATTAGAAGAAACACCTCAACTTCATAAGTAATCTGAATTATAGATGTACTGCTCTTTCAATGAAAGATATATTCCTGAAAAACTCTTTGAAAACAAATTCTGAAGGCAATCATATTTTCCAACAACCTGTATTATAATTTCAAAGTGGAACAGAAATGCCCCAAGTAAACTAAACAATTTATTGGCAAAATGAAATTTAAAAATCTTAGCAGACAACAGGAAAACACATGCTGCTAAAGGGTGTATGGCCTGTTAATCATCACTCATAATGCAGACAAGAACTACACCCACGACCCTGGGCAAGTCATGCTGCTTCCCCTCAGCCTTGGTTTCCTCATCTGGAAAATAATAAATACATGGATAAATAATAAAATAGATGGGTCTCTTCTGCTAAATAAAAAGTCTGGGTATTTTCTAATGCCTGATGAGTTTGTGAGGTATTAGACATGTTTATTGGACACCAACAGAATATCCAATATAGTTAACTACAATCTGCAAACCTTCCTAAGACTTTAGAAGTTAACAAATGAAGGAATCCTATTCTTCTAAATAAAATATAACATATCTGTATCAGATTTTTTAATGCAGCTCTTTATAGTATATGCCTTTACCTAGTCTTCACAGACTCAATTCTCATAAAACCTCACACTTATTTAACAGACATGAGATTATGTGAGGCCGGATGTGTGCCATGGTAACTTCAGAGTGTTTTGTCCACAAGTAGAAAATACACACTTGCATAATAACAAAGCCCCATTTAAACACATTTACAGGTAAAATCAATCCCATATCTAAAAACTCCATAAAATAGGGCAGCCCCGGTGGCCCAGCAGTTTAGAGCTGCCTTCAGCCCGAGGTGTGCTACTGCAGACCCAGGATCGAGTCCCACATCAGGTTTCCTGCACAAAGCCTGCTTCTCCCTCTGCTTTTCTTTCTCTTTCTCTCTCTCTTGAATAAATAAGTAAAATCTTTAAAAAATAAAATAAAATAAAATCTCCATAAAATAAAAGCTACAGAGGAATATTTAGACTATTACTGCTTTCCCCCAAAACTCACATTTTTAAAAGCTCTAATGCATATAGAACAAAGAATCAATAGAAAATCTGTGCAAATACACACATACAATAAAATTGTGTACTGACCTTTTTTCAGCCGGGGTTTTTGAGATTCAGCAGATGCAGGAAACTGAGTTCTCTGGGAAAAAAAAAAAAAAAAAAAAAGTAGTCTATGTGAAAGCAACACCATGTATCTTGCTAACTTGAAAAAGCATTCAAACAATAATAATCAGTAGCTCTCCAATCATGCAATACATGTGGGCACAAAGATTTATTTTTAATATGGTTTAAAAATCAAATGTCAAGTCATACTTTGGCTATCCAAACTATTAATAATGTATAATGCATATTTATAATATACTCTTATGTTTAATATATGATTTTATATATATATATATATATATATATATATATTAAAGATTCTATTTATTTAAGAGACAGAGAAAGCATGAGAAGGGGGAAAAAGGGGGAATCTTAAGCAGATTCTGGACAGTGAGGAATCCAATGTGGGGCTCAATCCCATGACCCTGAGATCAAGCCCCAAGCTGAAACCAAGAGTTAGACACTTAACCAACTGAGCCAACCAGGTGCCCTGTGTAATATATAATTATAATGCATAAAATGTGCACAAATAAATGTACTAAGCTCTTAAACACTACATATTAGTATTATACTTAATGCTATACATTTAGCATCCAAACCAAAACATAGTCATTTTGATAAAAAGAATTTTATGAGGTCATCTATATAGAAACTGCCTAGCACTCAATTCTAGGAGTTTCTCTTTTTCTTTTTTTAAAGATTTATTTATTTGAGAGACAGAGAGAGAAACAGAACACGCACTAGTAGGGGGAGGCGGAGAGGGAGAGAAAAATCCTCAAGCACACTCCCTGCTGAGCAAGGAGCCTGACCTGGGGCTTGATCCCACAATCTTGCAATCATGATCTTAGCCAAAATCAAAAGTTGGACGCTTAATCAACTAAGTCACCCAGGCACCCCTAAGAGGGTTATTTTTATTTTTTATTTTTTTACTTATTTATGATAGGCACACAGTGAGAGAGAGAGAGGCAGAGACACAGGCAGAGGGAGAAGCAGGCTCCATACACCGGGAGCCTGACGTGGGACTCGATCCTGGGTCTCCAGGATCGCGCCCTGGGCCAAAGGCAGGCGCTAAACCTCTGCGCCACCCAGGGATCCCTAGGAGGGTTATTTTTTAAGGGACATTATTCAATATAATAAATACTATCTTACACATAAGATCTTTGCAGAAAACCTTCAAATGGAGTTTTATTATACTACCTTCTGTTATATAGGATATAGTAAGATATAAGCAAAAATAATGGCTGAAATTTTCCAGAAGTAATGAGACACTAATCTTTATATATTTAATTTTTTTAAAGATTTATTTATTTATTTATTTATTTATTTATTTATTTATGATAGACATAGAGAGAGAGAGAGAGAGAGAGAGAGAGAGAGGGGCAGAGACACAGGAACAGGGAGAAGCAGGCTCCATGCCGGGAGCCCGATGTGGGACTCGATCCCAGGACTTCAGGATTGCGCCCTGGGCCAAAGGCAGGCGCTAAACCGCTGAGCCACCCAGGGAATCCCTATTTATTTTTTTTTTTAATTTAAAGATTGTATCTCTTTATTCATGAGAGACAGAAAGAAAGGCAGAGACACAGGCAGAGGGAGAAGCAGGCTCCATGCGGGACTCGATCCCAGGACTCCAGGATCAGGTCCTGGGCTGAAGGCGGCGCTAAACCGCTGAGCCAGCCGGGCTGCCCTGGACACTAATCTTCAGATTCAGAATGCTAAACCAATCTTGACCAGGTTAAATGAAAATAAATCCCCATTTGTGTTCATCAAAAGGTCATGCACCAGAGACAATAAGAAGTTCCTAAAAGCAACCAAAGAGGGTGCTTCGGTGACTCAGTCAGTCAAACATTTGCCTTTGGCTCTGTCATGATTCTGGGGTCCTGCAGTGGAGCTCCATGTAGGGCTCCCTCGGAGGGAGCTCCCTCCACGACAGGGAGCCTGTTCTCTCTGTCCCTCTGCCCTTGCTTGCCCTGCTGGAGCTTGCTCTCTCTTTCTCAAATAAAAATCTTATATTAAAAAAAGTGACCAAAGGAAAAAAGTATCACTAGCTAACCTATACAGAAAGGACAATTAGACTGACACCTGATGTCTCAACAATTAAAAATGGAAAATAATATCACATAAAGAGATTATAAGAAAAATCACTCTCACGTCTCAGGTGCTAAGTAAAATAAAAGTAATCTAAACACAAGGTCAACAAACTATGCCCTGCAGGCCAAACAAATCCAGCCCATTTATTTATTTATTTGAGAGAGAGAGAAAGAGAGCACGCGCTCATGTGAGCGGGAGAAGGCAGAGGGAAAAAGAGAATCTGAAGCTTATTTCACACTGAGTGGGGAGCCTGATGCGGGGCTTAATCCCACAACCATGAGATATGACCTGAACCAAAACAAAGTGGTTATGCTCAATCGACTGAGCCACCCAAGCATCCTTGCTTTTTACATTTTTAATAGTTTTTACATTTTTTTCATCTTTTGTAAGCCCTGAAAATTCTATAAAATTCAAATTTAAGTGTCTAAAATCTTTTCAAACCACAGTCACACACATGTTTACATGTCGTCTATGGTTGCTTCCACACTACAACTGCATAGTTGAATTGCTTGCAACAGAGACTAGCCCACAAAGCCCAAAATATTTATTACCAAAAAATAGTCTGCCAACCTCAAATCTAAACTCCTACGTCTTCCAAAACTAATTTTCAGAGTGCCTGGCTGGCTCAGTTGGAAGACCATGCAACTCTTCTAAGTCTGAGCCCAATGCTGGGTAAAATTTTGTTTAAATAAACTTCTAAAAGATATGAATTAGGAAAAAGGAAAATAATCCCAGAATGAAGGAGACAAATGAGCAAAGGAACTAGTAAAATATGGAAGTATTCTAAACATCCACTTACTGAATAAAACAAAGTATAATTTGTGGTGCTGAGAAACACAAAAACTACAAAACTGAACAACAGTAGCATGGCAATGTTGTGGCATGGCAATGGGTAATAAAGCATTTGATAATCCCTACATTACCAAGTTTTAAATTTGAACTTTCAGTTAAATATGTATTATAAAAAGAAATTGGGTAATCACTAAAGGAAGACTAAAGAACAGAGTATACAACTTCCAAGTAATGAAATGAGAGGAAGAGAAAGAAAGAAGAAATTCAGCCAAAAAAAAAAAAAGAGAGAGAGAGAGAGGGGCAAGAAAAGAAAGAAAAAATGAAATTCTCTAGTTAAATTATCAGGATGGATTTAAAAATCTAGATGTATGCTATTTATATAAAAACATACCCAAAGGGGATCCCTGGGTGGCGCAGCGGTTTAGCGCCTGCCTTTGGCCCAGGGCGCGATCCTGGAGAACCGGGATCGAATCCCACGTCGGGCTCCCGGTGCATGGAGCCTGCTTCTCCCTCTGCCTGTGTCTCCACCTCTCTCTCTCTCTCTCTCTCTCTCTCTCTCTGTGACTATCATAAATAAATAAAATTTAAAAAAAAAAAAACATACCCAAAGCAGAAAGACAAAAGTAAAAAGATGGAAAAAGATACACCAGGAAAATAGAAACAAAGAGAAAAACTAAAGTAGCAATATTAACATGAAACAAAACAGACTTCCAGACAGAAAGAAAGCTTTATCAGGGAAATGAAAATGAATTAATATAGATCAAAGACTAAAAATGAACAAGGCAAATTTAAAGCTTTTAGAAAAAAATATAGGAAAGGATTACTTCAGTAAGATATAAAAAGCACAAACCAATTGAGAAAATATCTAAGTATTCAACTACATTAAAATTAAGAACTTCTAACCCAAAAATGAGGTGAAGACAGAAAACTAAGAAGATATTTGCAATACAAAAACCAAAAAATCCCCCCCAAAAAGTGATAAAGGATTAACAGCTAGAAACTATAACTAACTACAAAACAAATAGTAAAAAGAAAGCAAGAAGAAAAACAGTTAAGTAGAAAAATAAGCAAAACATGGGGTGCCTGGATGGCTCAGTTGGTTAAGCATCTGCCTTCAGCTCAGGTCATGATCCCAGGGCCCTGGGATAGAGCCCTGCATCGGGCTCCCTGCTCAGTGGGGAGTCAGCTTCTCCTCCCCCTTCTCCCCATCACTTGTGTTCTCTCTCATTCACTGTGCTAATAAATAAACAATCTTTTATAAAAGAAAAACATGAGCCAGGCATTGCACAGAAAAGTAAAAGACAACCAACCACTGCTGCTCCACCTCATTAATAATCAGTTAAAATCACATTAAGACTTCATTTCACATCAACTATATTGACAGAATTTAAAACCATGACAACATCGAAGATGTAAGCAATATGAACTGATGATAGAAGCATAAATGGTTACAACCACCTTAAAGTTTCCCACAAGTAATGAGGTTGAAGATGTACCTACTCCATGAATGAAAAATCCTTTTCTCAGAATACCCTAGAGAAACTCTTAGATTAAGAGACATGTATAAGAATGTTTACAGGGGGATCCCTGGGTGGCGCAGCGATTTGGCGCCTGCCTTTGGCCCGGGGCGCGATCCTGGAGACCCGGGATCGAGTCCCACGTCGGGCTCCCGGTGCATGGAGCCTGCTTCTCCCTCTGCCTGTGTCTCTGCCTCTCTCTCTCTCTCTGTATGACTATCGTAAATAAATAAAAAAAAATTAAAAAAAAAAAAAAAAAAAGAATGTTTACAGGGCAGCCCAGGTGGCTCAGCAGTTTAGCACCGCCTTCAACCCTGGGCCTGGTCCTGGAGACCCGGGATCGAGTCTCATGTCAGGCTCCCTGCGTGGAGCCTGCTTCTCCGTCCTGCCTGTATCTCTGCCTCTCTGCACCCCATCCCCCTCTCTCATGAATAAATAAATAAAATCTTAAAAAAAAATAATAAAGAATGTTTACAGCCAGGCCTGAGACATTCTTACTTCTTACTTTTTGCACCCTAAGCACCTCACTTGCCCTACCCTGGCCCTAGCCCTGTTAATAATATTACTTTTAATACCTTAAAGTCAGGGGCTCCTGGTTGGCTCAGGCAGTAGGGCATGTGACTCTTGATCTCAGGGTCAT